TATATATATAACTATATATATGCCATAGAAAACCAAAACTTATTGTTATATAGGTATATATTTAATTTAGCTTATAGTATAAGTATATAGTATATAATATATATTGACTATAGTATATAATATAAGTAGTTATATATATTAGTCAGTATATAGATAGTATATATATATTATAATATATATATAGTATATATATATATACTATATATTATATATATCATATATATATATATGAAGAAAACAATAAATGTGTGTGTATAAGATATTGAGCTTAACGTATTAAACACACGATAATATAAACCTATACTAAATTACCCGAAGCTTTGATCTTGATCTTCATTGTAGCTCAATCTTGGTACAATGTGCGGATGGAAGCTTAAACTTGGATTTGAATTGAATTGTACATGCTTCACTCCACAATTCGCCAACCTCCTTGATATGATCGTTATGGCGCAATCCATTCCATCGCTCCAACTACGGTTGTTTGTCTACCATACATGAAGAATGTACAAACACGGACACTAGACAAACAACATTAGTAGTAAATTGTTTGTAAATCATCATCAAAACAAGAAGGCCAACAGATTCAACGTAAGGAGAGAAAAAAGAGAGGAGAAAAAGTTGATTTTCAGAGTACTTGGCTGCCTGACTGCAGTGATTCAAAAGCTATTTTCTTTAGAAGAATGATGCTGGCAAGCGTACTGTGCTGTTTTCGTAAAGGGTGTTGGAGATTTGAGTTGATACGAGTTTTAGAATTTTTGTGCCATAGTGGTAATACTGTATTTTCTCTTGTGATTTAATCCTCAAGTTTAGGTGTAGCTTCGAGGAATTGTACTATTGATTTATAGTGAAATATTTCTTTCTGGATTGCCCTATTGACGTAGCCGCGATTTGTTGAACCATATTAAATATTGGTGTTTGCTTGCATGTGATATTTCCATTAATGTCATTATTTATTTCTTATGTTTAATTCCGCATATAATCTTCATAAAATTTCTAACAAGCTTGTGATGAAAGGTTTTCTGTAAAGACTGGAGGGGCTAGCTTGGTCATGTGAAATGAATTAAAAATTTTCAAATCAGAGTTCTTAGGAGTGAGCAGACCATTAGTTCAATCTGTTTTCACAAATGTTAGCCATAAAAAAACGAAAACCAAAAACATCCTAGTTTCGGAAACCGAGTATAATGAAATTTGATTTGGTCAGTTCAGATTGGTCTATGCATTTCTGGCTTGAACTTTATGTTACTTGGATACAAAATAAAGATACAAATTAAGAGTTGGTGAAAGAAATATGTGAATTAAGAGGATGAAAGACAGAATGATGCAAATCATATCATATCATATCGTATGCTTCCTTTAAAAGTGTAATTTTAGAAAACCTTTCCGTAGTCAAATAGTATTCTTGATATTTTTAGATATTATATATACATTGTTATTCTATCCTAAATGATATGTTTAAATACATAAAACAGCTTCACAGTGTAAATAAAACAGCAATCATACCTTCCCTCGACGCCAGGGCCAGCCCAAGCTTTTTTGAGGCCCTGTGCGAAATGATAAAATGAGGCCCTCTTCTATATAAATGTTGAACTATAAATTTATTGAATTATATTTATTTTACAAAAGAAATAATACATAAAAATACAAAAATTACAAAAAACGATGTTTTCGTGCATTTTTTGATGCAAAATCATCAATAATAGAATCTATATCTATCTTTTCCAACATATCCTTCTCGATGCATAGAATTGCAAGGTCATTCAATCTTTCTTGTAATAATGTTGAGCACAAATATGTTTTTATCAGCTTCAATTTTGAAAAACTCCTTTCCGCTGATGCTACAGTCACAGGTAAAGTTAATAAAATTCGATATGCAATCAAAACATTAGGATAACAATCAGCAGATTTAACAAATTCAAGAATTTGGGCTGCTGTCTTTGACACATCTGGCAAAGTCTTTTGCAGCACTCTTAATTCAGAGAACATATCATTTAGATCAATATCTGATGAATCATTGAAAGATAAAATGTTTTGAAGATGAATGCAACAATCTCTCAATTCATTATCGTTCAATGACTTCAAATTATCTGAGTCATATAAAAATCCAAAAATACTTTCAAATGTTTGTAATTGTTTAAATCTCTCTTTCAATGAAGAGATTGCCATATCCACCACAACAAAAAAATAATTAGTTCTAAAAGACTCTTCCAAAGATTGTATTTCTTCATCATGATCATTTTCATCATATTGCCTTTTTCTAAATATGCGACGTTTTATTTGAAATATAGGCTCAACATCCATCTTAAGTGCAATACTTCTAGTAATATCTAAACTCTTTTGAAATCCATCATATCTATAATTTTCAAAATACAACATCATATCTTTTACTTGCTTGATAGTATTGTTAATGCTCATAGTTTTATGTTGTAATAGTTTACTCACCTTGTTAATAGGAAATAAAATGTCATACCAAATCATCATACCAAGTAAAAATTCAAAATTTTCAATAGCAGTAACCAAACCTTCAGCTTCACTCTTTGTTTTTGCATCTTCACAAGTGTTATATAATTCTCACAAAGCCAATCTTATTTGAGGGGCTTGAAATCTAATTGCTTTTACACTTTTAATTCTACTCTCCCAACGAGTATTTGATAAAGATTTAACAGTAAATGATGGAACATTGTCAACTAATATTTTCCATCGTTTAGTAGAGCTCGAAAATAATGAATAAATATGTTGCACAACTCCAAAAAATAAAACAGCTTTAACACACGAATATGCCATATCACTAAGAGTAAGATTGAGACTATGACAAGCACATGGCATATATAATGCTCTTGGATTTACTTCCAACAATCGTTTTTGAACACCTTGGTGTTTACCTTTCATATTAGAACCATTGTCATACCCTTGTCCCCTAATATCATCCACATTAAGATCAAGTAATTTCAATATATTTAACAATTCATTAAAAAGTCCTAATCCAGAGGTGTCATCTACCTTTAAAAATTCTATGAAATACTCCTCTATTCTACCAATTTGGCTCGACATATCTACACAACGGATTACTAAGACCATTTGTTCTTGATGGCTAATATCCGGAGTACAATCAAGAATTACAGAAAAATATTTTGCTTCTTTAATAGTCTTTATGATAGAACTTCTAACACTTTGACCTAAGCTAGAAATCAATTCATTTTGTATTTTGTGACTAAGATAATGACGATGAATTTCATGATTTTGAATACGCCTAACATGATCTTGCATGACTATATCAAATTCTGCTAGCATCTCAATAATTCCCAAAAAATTACCATTACTATTTTGATAAATCTTTTCGTTGCTTCCTCGAATAGCCAAATTATTTTTAGCAAGACATTTTACAACAGCTATTATTCTAATCAAAACATGACGCCATCGTTCTTTTTCCTTCATAATTTCCTTTTGCAAGTCATTATCTATGGTTTGACCTTTTCCCAACCTTAATCTTAGTTCATTCCAAGAGTTCATGTTAGTTATGTGTTCGATGCTATTTTCATGCTCTTTTAGTCGTTCACCTATATGTCTCCAATCTTGTAATCCATCATTTGCTAACAAAGCTTTATAGTTATTAGATTTGAACAATTTACAACAAAAGCAAAATACCTTATCAATATGTTTAGAGTAAATTAACAATTTTCGATCTCTACTCTCTCCATTACTCAATTTTCTATTGAAATGTGTATATGAAAAATGTCTACCCTCTTTGTCTAAAGGAAAGTTAAGATTTGTTTCTCTTTCAAGCCCCTTCTCAACTAAAATATCTCTTGAATCATTATCAATATTTTCCCATGTTCTAGGGTCATAGATATCAATATTAGGCACATATTTACTATCATTATTTTCATTATCGATAGATACATTTTCAACATCAATGGATACATTTTCATCATCAATAGGTAAATTTTCATTATCAGTAGGTTAATTTTCATGGCTAGTAGGTGTATTTTCATCTAATTGTTCAATATTTTCATGAGAACTTGAACTTTTGGAGAAAAATTTATTAATAGCTCCTTTTTGTGATTCGACCAAAGAATCTAATCGTTTTCTCTTTTTTCTTTTTTCATAACCAGACAATTGTTTTCTAGGAATCATTTTATAAAACAAGTAAACAACAAAAATAAGAAACTAAATAAATATCAATAGATAAATAAAATAAATAACAAATAAAATACAAATAAAATAACTTAACTTAACAAAAGAAAAGGAAAAATATCACCTGATTTCTTGAAATAAAAATGTAGTTAAATGCCAAATCTTCTAATATTATCGCAATGCCAAATCCTCAATAGTATTATCTCTTCAATAGAATCAAAACATGAATTGTAGATGAAGAATGAAGATGAATTGTAGTCGTAGAAGAAGATTAATAAATTATACTATAAAAATACTACTTACTTCACTATTTATAGTAGTTAGATACTCCTAGTACTACTACTAAACGGTAAAAAAAATAAACGGTAAAAAAATTACTACTAAACGGTAAAAAACAAACGGATATAAATGATAAACGATAACATTATTGGTGTGTTTCCTAGTTAATAGGGAATAGTTAATTGGGAATTAATTCGTTCAAATTGAATTTCCTAAACTTTAGGAGACAAATGAGCAACTAATCATAATTGTAGTACTAATTGGTGTATATTTCCGGTAAAATGTAAATCAGATGGGTCATGGGTGTTAGGCAGTTATGCTTAGGCAATGGACATAAATTATTATTTAATTTAGTGGGCTAGTATTAGATTATTAGGCCCTTTTTTAAACAAACAAAAGACTTATTGGAAAGAATTAAGAAATATACTATGGGCATTTTTAAAAATTTGGGGCCCCCTTTGAAATGGGGCCTTGTGCGGTCGCCCCCCCTACCCCCCTCTTGGGCCGGGCCTGCGTATATGAAAAATGTCTACCCTCTTTGTCTAAAGGAAAGTTGAGATTTGTTTCTCTTTCAAGCCCCTTCTCAACTAAAATATCTCTTGAATCATTATCAATATTTTCCCATGTTCTAGGGTCATAGATATCAATATTAGGCACATATTTATTATCATTATTTTCATTATCGATAGATACATTTTCAACATCAATGGATACATTTTCATCATCAATAGGTAAATTTTCATTATCAGTAGGTAAATTTTCATGGCTAGTAGGTGTATTTTCATCTAATTGTTCATTATTTTCATGAGAACTTGAACTTTTGGAGAAAAATTTATTAATAGCTTCTTTTTGTGATTCGACCAAAGAATTTAATCGTTTTCTCTTTTTTCTTTTTTCATAACCAGACAATTGTTTTCTAGGAATCATTTTATAAAACAAGTAAACAACAAAAATAAGAAACTAAATAAATATCAATAGATAAATAAAATAAATAACAAATAAAATACAAATAAAATAACTTAACTTAACAAAAGAAAAGGAAAAATATCACCTGATTTCTTGAAATAAAAATGTAGTTAAATGCCAAATCTTCTAATATTATCGCAATGCCAAATCCTCAATAGTATTATCTCTTCAATAGAATCAAAACATGAATTGTAGATGAAGGATGAAGAATGAAGATGAATTGTAGTCGTAGAAGAAGATTAATAAATTATACTATAAAAATACTACTTACTTCACTATTTATAGTAGTTAGATACTCCTAGTACTACTACTAAACGGTAAAAAAATAAACGGTAAAAAAATTACTACTAAACGGTAAAAAACAAACGGATATAAATGATAAACGATAGCATTATTGGTGTGTTTCCTAGTTAATAGAGAATAGTTAATTGGGAATTAATGAGTTCAAATTGAATTTCCTAAACTTTAGGAGACAAATGAGCAACTAATCATAATTGTAGTACTAATTGGTGTATATTTCCGGTAAAATGTAAATCAGATGGGTCATGGGTGTTAGGCATTTAGGCTTAGGCAATGGACATAAATTATTATTTAATTTAGTGGGCTAGTATTAGATTATTAGGCTCTTTTTTAAACAAACAAAAGACTTATTGGAAAGAATTAAGAAATATACTATGGGCATTTTTAAAAATTTGGGGCCCCCTTTGAAATGGGGCCCTGTGCGCTCGCCCCCCTACCCCCCTCTTGGGCCGGGCCTGCTCGACGCAGGTCCGAGTAAGAGTAGGACTTTAATATAAATAGAATTATAGTTCAAGTTCCCTTTTAGTCAAGGACGTGGATGAAATAGGAAAATAATCCTACACGGGGGTCCTCCGTAAACAATCATATATGAAGTTAATCAAACTATACTAAAGTAAGTGGTCATCGTAGACTTGTAAATAATTGATTTTGACTTCAATTCTTGTTATGTGTCAAACAATTCTTATAACTTTAATCAGTCAGCTTTACTCCAACATTAACATTGTTCGCAACTCACAGAATTATCCATCCCGATGAACAATCTAATATGCTAATTAGTCCTTAAAGATGATTGTATTTAGACATACAACAGGCCCCTTATTCCCTCAATTGAAGGGTTTCTTTATCAAATATATTTTAGTTATTGATCAACAACAGATAGGGATTACAATGAGAAAAGCTTAAAGTTCAGGAGTTTTGTGACACCCCAAAGTTCAAAGGGTTTTAGTGAAATTATCGTGTTTTTTCCTGTTAGAATTAAAATGATCCAACATTTAGATGTTGTCGGAAACAATCTTTGCTTGTTATATGATAGATTGTGAAACTTACACGCTTTAGCACAAGTTTTTACATAATTTCTTACATCTGAAAATATTTTCCCCCCGATGGATCTATCTTTAAAGCTTTGAATTACAGCCATCCAACAATTAGATGAAGTAGATCAACCTTTTTTTCTGGTTTAATAACATATAAACAATCTATCATGCTTGCCCATGTAAATTCACGATCACCAAATAAGAAGGGATAACAAATGTCCATCTAAGCCTCTAAACATTTTTATTTGAAAAATTAGAAGTTAATACAAATTCAATTAGAAATTTAATTAGAAATTGATTTTTATCTTTGAGAGTTCTTGTATAATCTGATCACTATGAAGTTATCGTTGAGAGTTTATTTTATAGGAGTTATATATAGAGTCTTGATTACTTCATATTTAAATGTAATTAGTTTGCTTAAGCCTTCATATAGGCATGTCTTCACTCATGGACATGCAACCAGTGGCGTGCGTAGCCACGATTATTTTTTGCCCTGGACGAAAAATAAAGGTGGTCTACGAGTATTATGTCATGAGGGAGAGGAGGGAGGCGCGGAAGAGGGAGGAGGGCTGGGGATTGTTGAGATGGAGATCCTAGAAGAGGAGGGAGTGGAGGTTGGATCTGTGGGACAGGGAGGTGAAGCGGCGGGAGAGGAGAGGAAGCGAGGGGAGGAGGGAGAGGTCGTGGGAGAGGCGAAGTTTCTTGCCCTGGGTAGCTGGCCAGGGCAAGCAAGCTCTGGCTACGCCCCTGCATGCAACAAGCCAGAGAATCAATAAACTAATCTTTTTGTACATATCCTAATCGAAATCTCAATACTGCACCATCATACAACTCTGAACATTATGTTGCGCACTTCTGTACTAGCACGAGCCGAAGCAAATAAAAGTGGAGTTTTCTTTATTGATGGGCCCAAAGGAGTTGTAATGATATTTATTTCCTGCTCTAATTGTCAAATTAATATCAGAAGGCATGATAGCACTTGATACATCAACATAGGGTGTAGTAGTGGAAATGACATATGGAGGCTAAATAGTACACTATAGGTTTAAGATCAAAATCCCAATAGAATCATCTTATGTGTAGGATATCCAAGCAAATGAAATATCCCAACTGTTTAAGATAACCAAGCTCATAATTTAGGATGAAACTCCAATGGCTAAACATGTTGCAAGTGAAAACACTGGGATATAACCTTTTGGATATAATGGATCAAGATGAACCATTTGGCAAAAAAAGGGATTGTGTTTAGCAGCAAATTCAGACAAGTGTTACCCGTAGTCCCCCATGCAACAAGATAAAAAATTGATAGTGAAAATTTATTCAAATCACATCTATGTAACACAATGGAAAAATTGTGGCTATCAAAGAATCAAGCATGGACATACTTTTTAGTGACCTCCTTCTTAAGAATGGGAATGGAGATGAATCGACACTAGCTGATGACCTAATAGCATTGCCCACTCCGATATTTATCAAGAATCAAAGTGACCGTCTTCTAGAAGATTCTCTCATAAATTCAGGCTTTCTATTTTTTAGAAGGGAACTCCACTTTGTTAATTGGTTTGAATCTCTTTATATTGGTTTAATTTGTGGTAATAAAACAATAGAGTTAAGCAGTATAGAACTGTAGAAGCTTCAAATCATAGTGCAAAGAGCTAATCAACAGAATCGGATTCTTGCACATGTCAATTCTCAGATGCTAGCAGTTTAATACTTTCCTTGAATCCTAAAGTTTAATTTGACCCCTCAACACCAATATTTCTCATGCAATAACAATTTTATGCATGTTTGGTCTACTTTAAAAGTGTAGAAACTCACCTCAGGTGAAGATTGAGTAAGTTTTATTCTTTTAATCATGTATAACTTCCTTTAGAATTGTTTTACCATATTCAAAATGATATTAGTTTTATGTATTAGTAATTATTAATATCTTCATATATTGTTTATACTGTTCTTAAATTGATTGTATCATATATTTTGCCTATGAAATATTGTCTGCTACAAAAAGAATCTTTCTTAACATCATTATGTACAGGTTTAAAAAATTGATCTTATTCAATACAATATATTACATAGTTACAATAAATTTTTTAACAAACGAGTTATAATAAAGACATAAACCTAAAATTAAAAATCAAAGTATTTGACCATGTGTGATGCATTAATTAAAATATGAAACAATCTGGGAAAATAAAGAAGAAAATTTATAAACTCCCACCCACCCACCAACCAAGTCTATATATAACATCATGCTCTTTTCAAAAATGGGAGCTTGAGAAAAATTTCCTATGGACAAAAATACTCTTAATCCTTTTAGAATTTATTATATTATCATATGTTAGTACCTTTTTCTTGATGATGATTTATAAACAATCCCTAACATCATTTGTCTAGTATTTGTGTTTGCTCATTAGATATTCTAGACAAACATCGATGTTGGAGGTTGGTTGGATTGAGCCTTCACGATCACATTTAAAGGAGGTTGGTGGAATATCGGAGTGAAGCTATGCACAATTTAAGTCAAAGATTTAAGATCAAGCTTCATCCACAAACCAAGACAAGCTCATTGAAGATTCATTGCTTGGTATAGTGTTATAGTGTTTTAGGTGTTTATACTTTGTGTGTTAATGCTTAAATCTAAAACAATATTACACACATACACGTTTTCGGTTTATACCTTTCAAGTTTAAATAAATATGAAACAAATAGCTATATTTATATACATATGTACATGTTTCATATTTATCATCTTTATTTTGGAAAATATTGTGTTTGAGCATTATAGACTCGACAATATTGGTTTATATCTTTTATAAAGTCTATTAATCCATTTAAAAGAAGTTTGAAACTTGGTTGAAATCATTTTGTCAAAATCATGTGTTTTTGAGATTTCATATTTTGACCGATTTTACAAAATGATGAATTTTCACAATTAGGAAGTGTAATTTAAAAAATTCTATTTGTAACATGTTCATTTTCATGTTTATAAATATTTCCCAAAGTTTTATATTTTTTGGAATTTATTTGCTATTTTTAAAAGCACTTGCAATTCAATGTTCTGAAAATTGCATATATCAGTTTTTGGTCGACTGAACAATTCCTTCCGGTTGACCGACTATTAGTTTTTGATCGATCGAAAAGGTTCTGCTGGTCGACCGACCATAATCAATTTTTCTAGTTTTGTTTCTCAGGGATTCCTCAGTCGACCAATAACTTTGTTTCGGTCGACCGATGGACACCCTTCGGTCAACCGACCTGTGTCATCCGGTCGACCGAACTGATGACCGTTGGAATAACAACTAGTTTTTCAGATTTTATAGTTTTATGTTTTTTGTTGGTTTCTTGGGGTCCCTATATATACTCCATACCCTCTAAACTTCTAAGATTATCCAAGACAAGTTTTAATCAAGTTTTTGAGCAAGTTTGTTTAAGAGTCTTCAAGTGTTTCAAGTTTTTTTTTTTGTGTGAAGAAGTTTTCACAAAGAAGATGCTTGCATTTTCTATTTGACGAATCCAGCCTCATCCCCTCATCTACATCTTCTTGTGATTTTAGAAAAGTTTTCTCAACTCAATTATCTAGCTTGCTCATACTCAATTTATTATATTTATATTTGCTAGATCAAGTTG